ACATCTAAATTACATATTCAATTTTACATTTTATCATGGACAAATGAAATACACTTTTTCATGCTCCAATTGACACACTATTGTATTCACATGGAAATATAAAAATGGATTGTAAGTAAATATGTGCATGCATGTGTGGGACATACACGCTTAAGTATATGCATGTAAATTATTTTTATATTTATCTATATAAATATATTTATTTTAAATATTCCACCAAAATAAAATATTCTTGATTAAAAAAAAAAATTTTTTTTTACGAATTCGTCATCATAACGTACATATAAATTAGTAAGACTTTTAACTTTTTTATTATGGATTATAATCTAATTCACATTTCGAACATTGATAGAAAAAATGATACAAAGAAAAATAAATGTTTCGTGCCTTTTTAAATTTTTTTTTTTTTTTATAAATGAAGTATATTTTAATTATTTATTAATGTTATATTAATATATACTATTTAATTTAATACCTTTCGATGCTTATTCATAAGGATCAGTGCTCTAAGCAATTATTTTATCAAGTTTTATAGATATAAGTACAGACATTTATAATATTTGTCAATGAATATCAAAGTCTTTAATAGTTGAATTAATATTTATTAAATATTTTTATGAAATTAATCTGTAATGTAAAAATTCTCCCACCAATATTCAATATCCATATTTATTTTTATAGCTTTTGAATAAATTAGGTTTTATTTTCTTTGTATTCGAATTGATCACTAGATTTGGTGGTGAAAATGACTTCATAAGTTAATTCAGGATCCATGAGGCAACAGTCTCTTTTTAATTTCTACTATTGAAAATGAATAAAATTATAATGCTTATAAATATGCCCAAGTCATACAATTTAATACAGTTGTAAATATATAATTATCTTAAAGTTTACAATAAATGATAATTAATAGATTTAGTTTTAATTTAAGAGCTTTAATTATATTTCAAAAGTTTTCAAGTTACATGAAATAATATAAACATTTTTTTGCTTTCATATTTAACTTAAACATTCGATAAGTTTTGTTAAATTTAGAAGTCATATATTGGACTGTCGTATATAATTTAATTAAAAGCAACAGTTTTTGATGTTTTAGTAAGAAGAAATTTATTCATAAGAATAAATTATTCAGGCCAATACATGGTCTTATAATCGATAAGAAATGAGAAAAATAAAAAAATTCTAAGTTAGATGATTGAAACTTATAATTAAAGTAAAATTATCTGTTTACTTCTAAGAACATGAATATGATTCGGATTTCGAAATAAACTATTTTTCATGTAGTCTTAATGAATTTAAATAAAAATTCTCAAATATATGAATTATGTAAATAATAAAGTCTTCAAAACTATAGTCTTTAAGTCACAAGAGGATAATTTTTAATTTTAATATGTATGGGCTTTATGGTTTTGGGAAAATAATAATATAATTTGTATGTGCATTTGCAAAGATAGAACTTAGGTAGAAGATAGTACATTAAATTGTTTATTATTCTCTTAATTTATTAATAAAAACATTAATGAAAATTGTGCATGAATGGAATTTCATGAAAAATTCCTATTACATTTAAAGGATATATTACGTGGATAGTATATTATTAAAAAAAAGCTCCGAATATTGAAATAGCATTTTGCTTATTCAAGGCGTTTTAACAATTGTGTTTTAAGGATCAATTAGTGATAGCCTTCATTGATGAACTTTTAAAGAAGATGTTTAATCAAATAATTTTCATCGCATTATTAAAAAGTAATTACAATACATTTCCTAATTATAAAGTTTGTAATTTTAATGTATAACATAATTACAGGAATAATTACAATATCTATGAATTATGTATTTAATTAGTGTCTATTAAAATTTTGAAAACACCAAGGCAAAAAAATTAATAATTATCAATAAATAATGATGTACGAGTATTTGAGCACTTTAATATTAAATTTGCATAAAAAACAATTTTATAAATAGACTTCGCTATGAAAATGAAATTCCGTGAAATTGTTAAAAGAATAAATTTTTTGGCTTTTCATAAATACATCTCTACTACAATTATTAAAATTTTTTTATACATGAAATTTATATTAAAATACGATATAAATAATCTTGTTTGAATGATTAGTTAATAAAGATAATATATATATTTATATAAATTAACTAGAATGTATGAAGAAAAACAATTTTTACAATAATATGAAGATTTTATTATTTGCATATTCAATTATAATTGTTCAACACACCAATTTTAGCCGAACGAATATGTGATGGAGCTTGGGCCTCTTTTTATCAATAAACATCTCTATATTCCCATAAAGTGCGAACTTTCCAGCACTTTAAAAAGATTTTTATCACATTCGCATATGCAAATTATTATCCTACATATTTTGATTTAGTGATTTTCGGAACATACAAATTTATCAAAAAGTAAAATTTAATGTTTCTCACCATAATAACGCTTTCTCTTTATAACGAATACATTAATAGATTTTTAATATATGGTAATAATTGTAAATTATTTTTAAAATGATTTAACAACTAATTGATTAGTACTTCTATATTATTAAATTTTTTGAAAATATTTATGCCTTATAATTAATTGAATTATCTTTAGACGTTTTATTTTCAAAATAATCTCCACTTTCGTAGAATCCAATCATTTATTTAATCATTTATTATCATCTCAATCTGATTTTCTCTGCTATGATTTTAAATTACTAACATTTTCATACTATACATGAAAAATAAACATTTTAATGTAAATACGATCTTTGTATGTATGTATATACAATTCTTATATATAACTAAAAATATTCAGAAATTAATATTATCACAATATAAATAAATATACATTGGAATTAATTAATTTTAACGTAATACGCAATCATAAAGTTGAAAGCAGAGGCAAGAAAAGTTTCGAAAGGACTAATTTCGGCGGCATTTACGTGCCCACATAAAGCGATACTACGTATGGTATTGAGGAAATTTTAATGGTACACCGAGGCAACGATACACGAGCAGCGTCAAACAATGCGGAAAGTGGACATCGCAGCCTCGCACTTTTCGTATTGATCCATCGAAATGTATTAAGTTGTAAAATTTGACCTAATTGTAATTTTACCGTAATTAAACCGATTAAAATTATATTGCACATTATTAATATACTTGTATATTATACACATGTACACGCACGGACGTAAACGCGCACGCACGCACGCGCGCACACACACGCACACACACATGTGTGTGTGTGTGTGTGTGTGTGTGTGTGTGTGTGTGTGTACGTATGTACGTATGTATATGTACGTATACTCGGTTCAAACTTTTATATTTTTTATTTAGTTAGCGCGTGTATAAATACGCACTTTGGATGAAAAGTTGCGTATTGAGTGAGATTGACAGAAAGTTTCTTTAAAGTTAAAATACAACCTCGTGATTAAATGGATTTCACAATCTCTAGCATTTTGAAGAAATTTCAATTATATTGACTTATAACTGCATTTAAAGTCTAATGCATATACATATGAAATATCTAGCGAAATGCATGATTTTTAAATAATTACACAAATTAATATTATGACACTGTTAAATTAGGAGACTCGGTATTTTTGCATATAATGAATATTTAATCGTACTCGATATTCATTGGTCAAGTCATAATTACGTAAGTACCATAATATTTATTATCTGTTAATTTATGTAACCTTCTCCCAACGCATTATTATGATTCATTAGCTCAAGCAGAAATACTCCCAGTTTCGAGAAAGTTCTTCTTAAGGTGTTTACACGTTCATTTTTTACGACTATTACTTGGAATAACGAAATGATCTTTGTAACAGAAGTGTGAAAAACGCTTTTTGGCCAATGATTTCAATGAAATAATCGAGACAATTCGTAAAATGGTTGAATTAAAAAGTTTTCAATTCTAATAAATTCGGATTTGACAGAGTTAAAATGAAAATTTAATGTAATACAAAAGGAAAAATTTTCATTGTCTCTCTCCTACAATAGCAATTAATTCTTTAATCAATTTGAACGTGTATAGCATTTGTCAATAAAGGACAAATGTATTTGTGCAATAAATTAATCATTCGAAAAGTCATTTTAGCCCTTCCAGCGCATAAAATCTGTTTCCTTAAAAGGCAAAACATTAAAAATCGATAGTTACCGGTAAGGTTGTAAAGTTCGACAAAAATACATCGTTAAATGAAGGAAAAGTCTGGGAGAATGTAAATTAACTTGATAAATAGCTGATGAAATGTACATTATCAATAACACAAATACAGTTGATTGCCACTTCCGTGACTTATAAATACTCATTACAGCATTAACCATGTAATATAATATAGTGTGGTAAATAAATTTTCGAATAATAAATGAGCTTGTTGAAATACTTGCTTCAGCAGTGTTTAAACGACGTCGTGCATTATTAGTTTAAATAAACGAAAGGCATGGAGCAAAAAGCTCAGCATATCTGACTATTTCATGATTTAGAAATTCATCTGTCGCATGTCGATGTAAAATTACATACGTCGACTATCGAAGCTATTTTCAATAAAGTTTTTCCTACCAATCATCAAACTGCAACCCCTTTCTCATTTAACCTCCCAAAAATGTCTCGGCTCATAAAATTATCAGCAGCACCGGTGCCATCAACATCTTCAAATGCTTCCGATAACAATCTCTCACTAGACAAATTTCTCGGTCCACGAGCGTTCGTCTCGTCGATTCTTGAGGAATGGTGGTTGGAAGGTCGCTCGACGCGTCATCGGATCCGGCATCGTTTTTCCAAAATCCAGCCGAAAATCCTCGAGGAAAGTGTCGGGCTGACGTATAATTGACCATCATCGCGGTGTCCCTTGAAACCGTGGCGCGCAATTGACGAAAGTACGTACTCCAGGTGGGGATGGAAGGACCACTTGGGCGCAAGTTGAGCACACGCGTCGTCGCGTCGCGCGCGCTATTTATGGGCCCGCTGCCGAATATATAAAGCGGAAGGCCGACGAGGCGGTAAGTATCAGTTCGCCAAAAGTTCTCGTGGTGATCCATCAGAGCGGACCGGATCGATTTTCGATTTGCCCAAAATGAAGCGATTGGTGAGTAGTTAAGTCCCGCGTCGGCGGGATAATCACGCGAGCCGCCAATTAATTGATTTGCTTGATACGCACCGCGAATGGGATTACTTTTGTGCACATATTACTTTAAGATCGAGGCTATAATATAGGAGCATAATATCGCTATAAATTTTCGCGTCTATGCGGCCGATGAATAATCGTGTGCCTGTGTTAATGATTTCCCACTTGGCAAAAGTGTGATTAAAATTTGCAATCGCGGACACTCGATTACAATTATAAAGCTTTCGTTTCTACTATATAATAGGATTAAGTTTAAAGAAAAATGGCAGAGGACGAAGCGATGACTCATTCATTCCTCGGCCTATACTCTCAATTAAGGAATTTGGCAGTTAATTACATTAATTGCGCTATGAAAATTTTATTAATATTCTTTGTCCTATATTCGTATATAATCAATTTATTATGTAGAAAAATTAATTATTAGATAGATCTACGAGTAAATGTAGGACTAATTCTTTGCAATAAGATTTTGTAAAATCAATTACGATAACATTAAGCTGTAACAATGAGGCTAAAAATAAAATCATGTTAATATACAATTATATAAATTTCTTTTCTATCCCTTAAAAATGAAATTCTTTCCGATTCAAAAGTCATACAATATATATCTTGAATCTTTTAATATTTATTCGCTCTGATTCAATCTTTGAATACTTTTAAATAGCAACTTGGATTTAATAATGTTATGAGAGTATTTGTAATTAAGCGTTATAAATAAATAATTCCGTTACTTTTGATTACTTTAAAATGTAGTAATTAAAAATATATACTGTTCAACTTTACCTCTTCAGTAAAGATTTAATCTTCTTGACTTATACAATTATGCTTAATTATCAAATAAATTCGTTTATATATTAAAATATTTGTAATTAATTAGAATAAAAATTCAATTCACATCTTTTAAATTTAAAGTTTGACCATTATTAAGTTTATATTTACATTCATGTAAAAAGTAATTCTTGAAATATAGAAAAAAAGCATTACAATAAATTTTATAAACTATAAGCACTTATTATAAATACTAAAAATTTAATATTATAAGATATTATAAATACTAATGAAATGCAAAGATAATAATTAAATTGAGGAATTATTTTTCATCTTCAAAAATATTGATCCGTAAAAGATATGTTAAAATTTGTAGGAGAAGAATCTAGTCGTATCCGGGAAAAATAATTATTTAGGCATAAATTGTTCTGTTATTTTCGGAATTAAGAAGAAAAGTGAATAATTGATTAAGAATTAGATATATGATGATAATTGGTATTCCATTAAACGTGAGATTTTTTTTCAACGTAAGTATGAATATCAACAGTACAAAAAATAATTCGTTGAATTTAAAAAGGAAAGTAATAAAACTGATGTAATATTTGCCTCTTAAACAACTTGAATAAAATAAGAATTTATCAAAACAAAAATAAGAGTTTCTCGTTTTAATAAATTTAAATAGTACATACTTGTTACTCCTTTGATTTTCCTTATAATATAAGCAACGCACCAATTGGTTTTGTTATATACATATACACACACACCCACACACACACACACACACACACACATATATATATATATATATATACACATATACACGTATATATGTACACGGAAATAACAACTACTTTATTTCCTATTTGAATAAGTAAACATAATAAATAACGATTAGTGACAAGAAACATTAGTAAATGTCTTGCGATGATAAAACGCAATCTAGTCATCATAAAAAATATCACACGGTAAACGACGAATCTAATTAGCACCTTCATCTTTAATCTACCGAATACGTTTTATGATTAAATTTTTTTTTTTCTGTTTGTTCGTACTGCCAATCAAATTAGGAACATTGTTTAACTTTCACTAACAATATGTTAAAGCATGATCTATCCGATCTCAGATTAAAGTTGACAATTGATATTTTATAATTAATTAAAATCTATATATCGTAAATTGCAAAATAAAATTAATAAAATACATCTGTTTTTATTAATAAATTTCATACCACTTAAAAATTTAAGTTATTTATTATTTTTAGCCACGATAGATAATAATTCGTATACTGTATATATATATATATATATATAAACTACATTCTAATACCAAATAATATTTATAGATTAATTCTATAAACATGTTGGAATAAAAACTAAATACTGAAATAATAATATTTATACATTTTTATAAATATTTAATGTTTAATTATTAATCATCCTTGATCTTACAATATTTTAAAACTTAATATTTAATTAAATATATTTAAAAATCGTACTAGCACGTTAATCATATTAGTACATTCAAGTTAATATTGAAAAATATGTCATACTTGTCTAATGTGTATTAATAATAAAATAATTTATATAATAAAAGAGTATTTAATTATTAAATAATTGAAAATACGTGAAAATAATTTTTAAAAAATATTTGTAAAAATTTGGACATGAAGATATATAAGTTTACATAATACTTATTTTCATAATTATCCTTTGCATCCATAATTTTGCATAATTTCATTTTATGAATTATTTTCTTAATACAAGATTCCATAAAAATTGAGCTCTTTGAGCGATAAAAGTAAATATCTTACGATTAATAATAGCATGTCCATATATGATTTTAAATTAATACTACACACTTAACTCACTAAACATTAAAATTAGTAATTCTATATCTTACATTATTAATTAATATCTATTAATTAAATGTTTTTAAGCAATATTAATTCGTGCATGAATTTTGTAATTATTGAAATGATTCGTATAAAGTTTGAATATACGCTAATTCCAGTCATTGTGAAAAATAGAAAATTGCTGAACTTTTAAGCAATAAAAGACAAGTAACATTTTTAATTTGTGTATATTACTTATTTTAATATAACGTTTATTCTATATATCGTCGTTGCTTAATGAGACAAAAAAAATATTTGTATAATATTTATCGATTACGAAATAACCACGAAAAAAAGTTAGTTATATTTAATTTTCATTTTGTTCAAAATTCTGTTAAAATATTACTTACGTTGCTAAACTTTTGTATTTTTATGTTCAGTATATTCAGTATATTCAGTATATACAGTAGTGTACTATTAATTGAGAAAAACAAAAACAAAAAAAAAAAACGAAAAAAAAAACATTTATTTTTACTTTATCCTACATTCGTGGGATTTAAATTGCTTTTCCGTCTACAATATTGTTACATCAACATACAGTTGATCATAAATTACGCAACGACCCGAGGGTAGGGAAAATCATTGAATGCGAGATCGTGGGCACAGTGAAAATACGAAAGTAGCTGTTAGTTAAAAAATCTCTGGAAAAAATATTATGTATAATAATTTATGGACACTCCTTAATGTGCGTAAATTTTTTTATGCCGAGTTATTTGCGTTTTACATAAAATAAATGTTAAGTCCATGTCCATATAACAATTTTCAGAGGACACTCGCGCCTCATGTACACCATTTCGAAATACATACAAACATTATTTATCATACGTATAATATCCATTGTAATATCAAATAGAGTATATGACGAAAGAGGATTAATAAACCGATAAATCTTAATAAGTAGGAAAATTGAGGAGCTCCTTTTCTATTTTTCTATTTCTGTTCCGTACATTTTTATTTTTTATTTTTTATTTTTTATCATTACAATTAATACAACCATATAATGAAAGAGTATGAAAAAAATCCTTGAAGGGATATAATATTCCACATGCTGTAATGATAAAGCTTTTGTTATGTAAAAAGCACTTATTAATCCTTTGGACTAAAAAAAGTATTTTGGCTCCAATGTTTGCCGCCCAGCATTTTCAATTATAATAAAAGAGAGATGCCCGTACCCTATCATCCTCCAGCTTGAAAGCTCTAAAGACGCTTGACCTCGTCTCGACAGGTAATCCTGGTCCTCGGCATGACGGTGGCGATATCTCAAGGCGCTCCGACAGAAGATACGACCAACGTCGTGGCAATCTTGCGGCAAAGTGCGGACGGTCCCAACCCCGACGGTTCTTACAATTGGTCCTACGAGACGGAGAACGGGAGCAAGGCGGAGGAATCCGGCTCTCTTCGGGAGGTCGGCTCCGGGACCGAGGCCATCCAGGCTCGTGGCACCTTCAGCTATACAGCCCCCGACGGGGCGGTCATCGAGCTCGAGTACGTCGCCGACGAGAACGGTTTCCAGCCCCAGGGCGCCCACTTGCCCGTCGCCCCGGTGATACCCGAGGGCATACAGAGGGCACTCGATTGGATCGCCACGCATCCGGAGGAGAACGACACGGACGCGCTAAGGAATAATAATCAGCCGAAAAACCAGGAAGAGCAGGAGGAAAAATAACGCGTCTATTAAGCGTATTTGTCGCGGGTTCCTCGTTTACCAATTGAACTGCTTGTGTATGTTGAATAATTAAAAGTTGTTTGAGCATTAAACGATGTCTGTATTTTTCATGGGTGTTCGGTACAGTGCGCGGACAGCAGTCTGCGAAACGAAGATCTTTGGCTGTTTCTGAGACGACGATAATCTGTCTGTCTCCTCGCGATATCGTAACCTGTGAATTCGAGGGCTTAAACTTTGGAAATCCTAGCCCGAGTTGACGGACGCGGTATTATCGCAACTTGTTAGTTGAATTTTTTCGCTACTTACATTTTATTTTATTAATTTTATAGATCGTTAAGCTTCTTTTCATATGGATAATAATTTACATAAAATTTGTATAATATTCTAAGTTATTAAATAAAATCATGAAATGATTCATGTTTCTTAAATAAATATATATTTTCATAAAATCTAGAAAATTGAGTAATGTCGATGTTTATTTATTTAACCCAACTATAAATTCCAAATACAATGTACATGTAATGATTCAAGCTATTTTTCTAAATTGGGAAACGCATTTAACGTACGACAAAATTTCATTTGTTTTCTGTTTTATTTGTTCAACCGAAAAATCAGTATGCTACCTTTACACTTTTATTAATTGATAAAATCTTACTATTAACAATTTCAAAATCCACTTAGATTAATTAATTATAAATATTATGTAATTTTACGCATTAAAAATCGTCTATTATATTAAAATACTAAGGTAAAAAGAATGATATGGTTTTACAGAATAATATGGTAAAATTTATGTATGAATATATGAATTTATCGATAAAACTATAAATATTCTTATGAATTATGTAACATCTTCTAAAAGTATTAATGAAATTACCTATTTACTTTAAAGTTTAAAATTAGATTAAACTGGGACATTAACAATCAAATATATTTTGATACTTATGAGTAATATGTAATTCAACAATCCACGTTTGCTATCTGCACAATATTAATTAAAAATATGATTCCATCAAATTATTACAAAATTAAATATTGAATTAAGGAAGAAAAATCTTTACTAAAAGTATTCCTTTACACTAACTACAATAATTATGAATAATGAGTAATGTCTAAGCTATTTTATGAACGTAGATCAGTTCATAAATCATAATGCAATTTTCTCTCAATGTTTTATTTTCTTCAGCGATTGCCCATAATGTATAGCAACATAAAAACTCACACAAAAGTATGATTTAACATAAATTTACATATATATTTTATTTATTTATTTATTATTTAAATATAATTTAAAATATTTATTTCATTTTATTTATAGTAATTTTCACGAAACAAATGGGTGCAATTGTATATGATAAATTAAAATTGTTGTAAAAATATTTTACCCAATACCATTCTAATATATTTGAAATCTAATAAATGCTGTTATTTTTTTTTCTAAATGATTCTAATATATCCATTAATAGTCGAAATTTTTATAATTATAAATTGAATGTACTTTTTAGTCAGTTTTATTTACCTCACAATAAGAATAAATGTTTATTTAACTTAGATGATGTCTTATATATTGATAAATTTATAATGTTAGGCATAAAATTATGAAAATTTAAATAAATATTTATACTTATTTTGCACACATGGGAATTCATTATTTAAGAATTTTAAGAACATAGTAAATTTATATTGTCAGTATGACATTTTATACAAAAAAAAAACAAAAAACAGACAGAGTCTTTTTTAATTATTAATAATATGCCATACTATAAACATTCTCACGTAAACTATATAATTTACAATTTGAAAGGAGTTTTAAAGAATAAAGAATGTATCACATGATTTTATGTTAAAAATCATAATTCCAGAATATCATGACTTACTTGTTCTTTTTGCACAGAAAGAGAACATAAAATTAATTAATATGCACTTTGTATTATTATAAGAATAAGGGAAAGATATATTTTTATTAAAGTTCTATTGCTTATAATCCATTTTATGAAAATATAAATTACTCCAATTGCATAAAGCTTGAATATATTATAATGTATTATTTACTTATTGTTAAAATATTTAAAGAGATTTTTAACAAAATCAATAAAGCAACATATTTATTTCTTTTCTTCTTTTTTTTTTTGGATTATTTGAATTATATTAACGGTATAAAATTATATATTAAACATTTAAAATAATATTATAATGACATTATTACAACTATTAATTTTGCTACATTTGTGGATTGGACATAATTTTGTAGAAACTTGAACGAGTGAATAAGTGTAAAGTGAAAATCGTTATTTGTTGTTAAAAGGCAATTGAAATTATTTTGACCGAAAACAATCTTTAATATATATCTTGAAAATTTAATTTATTGTAGAAGGAAATATAAGCTTGTACATTTTACGTGATCTTTGCAGTGAATGGTGCAAAAGTAAAAAGGTAATCCTCTCTCTTTCTGACTAGTAAAGAATTACAGAAAGTCCTTTATAAACAAAATTTTATAATGCTGGTGAAAAACTGTTTAAAAAAACGGAAAATAAATTAAAATTTTTTAACGATTTTTCTATAGCTGGTGAAATTCTTTATTAATACATTGTTTTAATTTATCAAGTTCCAAAATTATTAAGATTAATTAAGCTGATTTTATAAAATAACTATATTAACGATGCCTATAAATGTTATTTGATGTATTTCAGTTTTGATCCTATTATGTTAAAGTATTTTCTAATTTAATTGAGGTAATTTTTTATCAATAATTTTTATATATACATATATATATATATATATATATATATATATTTATAAATAATTCTTGACTTTTCAAATTAATCAAATCGTACAATACTTAATATTGCATCAAATCGATTATATTAGTCGTAATGATATGGATACATTATACATTGTCATTATATACAGTATATATTAATAATATATTTATTATTTATTATATTTATAATATTATAATAATATTATGTATTTATTATATTTAATATATATTTATTATGTATAATAAATATTAGTTATGAAATTTAGTGGGCAATTTATTTTTATCATTCAATTGTATTATATGAGTAAGGCTGAACTAATTTTAATCCGATGATTTAATACGGCCAATTTGATATTTCATTTTTAATAATGATAATATAATAATGAATATATTTTCTATATGGATATGTTTAATTAATTAGCAGAATTTCCTTTTTCTTTTTGATCAATTATAAAAATATCATGATTAATGTAATGCTTTATGTAATTTGAAATTATGAAAAATGAAAGATAAATGAAAAATTAATAATCCGAGTATTTTAATAAACTTTCATAACTTGTATTATAATATGTTTGTATTCAACAAATGACATCATTATTGTATGCATTTTTATTATTTAATCGAAATTCGTTTAATAGAAAATCATGTATTTTCTTACGTGTTATGATCCACAGTGATCGTAAGTCTCGATCTTATATACAACCTAATATACATGCATAAAAATTCAGAATCATAAATATTCTATATAAATAAAAATTACCTTATTGTTGCATATCTTGTGAAATAAAAGATTATTTCATTTAGAATTATGAAAGTGTTTATTTTGCGAAAATAAACGCGTCACTCTGCGAGAGCGAACTTCAACACGCGAAGCGTCGTCAGAGTTTGTATATTATGAATTCGGCATCGAATCTCCATAAAACGATCCATTCTTTTTGAAAGATAAAAAAGAAGAGTCATGTGGGTCAGCGAGGATCCTCATGTGTCGTTTCGTCGTCACCTTGAGGCTACATTATTACTAGCTCCTTCAGTGAGATGGGATGGTACGTTGTGCATGTGCGTGCGTGCGTGCGCGCGCGCGCGCGTGTGTGTGTGTGTGCTCGAAGAAGGCGGTCGGGAAAGGAAAGAGAATGGATATACGAAGACACTTTCGTTCTCCTCCGTGAAATCGTGACACACACAATGGGGCATTCAGACTTCTTTACTTACCAATAGTCTAGCCTCTCCAATTTTTTATCTGCCTGTCTTTTATTATTGCCGTATTGATGAATTGACTAGCCCAAGAATTTCATGTAATTTAACTGTTGTTAGGCACTGCAGCATTACATCTACATTTACGAATGATCGAACTATTTTCTAAAGTTTTTTCTGGTCACGATATTTCTAATATCTTAATTAATACTTTTAATAAAGGTTGACAAATTTTTTCTATAAAGTCAAGCTAATTGGAGATGATAATTCTTGATATTATTGTTGCGTCTAGAAATTTAGACAATATCTCTTAAATCACAAGAAGTTTATTTTGATGATTCTTCAATATAAATTGCAAAATTAAATCCATACAACTATCACTAGTTTAAATTTACATTCTGCATTTCAATTTTTAGAATATCAAACAATTGTATTTGAGCTTGGAACACATTTATTTTCTTACTTTTTGTAATGCTATTGAAAAAGTAATATGAAAACATTTTTTCATTAATTACCTATTAGTATAATATTAAGTTTTATTGTATAAATATAGACGTTATATGTTACAAAAAGAAAGACGAAACAATAGAAAAGCAATAAAAATACCTTATTTTATATTTTTACATAAATTACACGTAATAAACAATTACACGTAATAATTGAATAATTGCAATTATTGTACAAGTAAATATTAAAAAGAAATAAACAAAAAGTATGTTATTTATATGAGATCATAAAGACAATTAGAACTCATAATTTGATAAAAAAAAAATGAATCGTTAAATCAATTACCCCAAATTCCAAATAACATTGCAAAAATATTACTATGAAATGAAAATTATAAAACTTCACGATCTCTTATATGTTTATAATTAAAATTATTATATACAAATAAATAAATTAATATAGATTATCATTAATCAAGTTCTCCCTCATTTTTATAATAATATTTAATAAAAATATACTGATAATAACCTTTCAAATTCTTCTGTATAGAAATAACTTGTTAATTATCATTCTCGAATAGAAGAAATCTCGACATATCTAAAAAATTTAAATATTTCATAATATTTAATAAATGTATTATAATTATCTTAACATTTTTTATGTTTTTATGGAAAGTAATTATAATAATATAATTAATATATTGAATAGCATTCGTTTTTAAAATGTTTATAACTTCGAAAATATATATGTCAAATATAAGATTACCAGATAAAAACGATAAAAAAGATTAAATAGATGAGTGTGGGTGAAATAAAAAATATTGCGATTATACAACATATTTTGAAAATTTAATTTCGATATCGTTTTTAATCATTTCAATTTCATCAGTAAGATTTTGAAACCCAACGAAACAAATCATTTACAAAGGAATAGAATTACTTAATATACTATTCATGTTTCCTAATAATGACTAAAGTATCAAACGACTTAATATTGAATATATATATATATATATATACACATCTATATACATATAAAACATTAAGTATTATTGTCGGGAATTAAAGGATAAATAAAAATTTTATTCTGATAATATTTAGTGCCATGAAATGTTAATGAGCGTATCTAATGTATGATTGATAGTTTCATGATGTTAGAAATAATATTGCGCTAATTATTGGGTAATTCTACGTTGTTAAAAATAAAAGAATATATTCTTTTATTTAATACACAGTAAAGCAACATTAAAAATAAATTCTAAAAGTAAAACTGATTGTGTATTTCATGTTTTAACTATTTATTTGGAAATTTAATGAAAGACATTACTGTAAAGGAATTGTATTGAAACTATATAAAATAAATTATCATCGGATGATTTTCCACTAATCGTTATAAAAATTATACAGCAACGTTAAATTTATTCTACAAAGTTATATAATTTCTTATTAGCCTTATTTAAAAATAATTTAAGAATAATACTTTATATTATGTCATTGAAAGAATATTTATCAATGATTATGCATAAAATTTTATTTTGTTGTGTATGTATATATATATATATATATAAAAATTTAACATAGTATAGTATATTAGGTTCATATAGTTTACCAGTTTATCAATCATTGGTAACTGGTGTTGGAACCTTCTAGTACAAAATATTCGCATAAAGTTACAAAGAATACAATACATAATTTTGCATTTACAATTCGAAATCGAAATACGTTATTAGTTTAGACAGTCAATTTATCATTATTGTAATCAAGATAATTATCAAAATTACAATCAAAAGATCAGCATTTTATCGTATTTAAAAACTAATGAAGGGATTGAAAAAAAGTTATAGTTATACTGTATTAATTAGTTTATTAGAGAGCAACATTAATTGTTATTTAAAAAAATTTATCCAACCGTGCACGACATCTACCATCATCGGTTGAAAGTCTTAGATAATTTGATTTTATCCATTGTAAGTTTATTGTGATGAACGTTAGAAGAAGGAATAATTAATTTCAATCGGTAAAAGACATTAATGAGACTCTCGAGATAAGAAATTTGATTATGTATTTAACTTCTGTGCAATTTATAGTTTATAATGACATGCCAAATAAATTTATTGTAATTTATTTTAATTTGATTAAAAAAAAAAAATACATTGTTTTGTTTTTATAATTTTCGTTATTTAATAGAGAACATACAAATAATTTTTGCGCGGAAACTGATGTATTATTACAAATCAAATTATCAAATTATATCTGATAAATAAACATCGCCTACGTCATTGAAATTACAAATGCTTTTATTTTTAATCACATAAGCGACGGCGTCTAATGCATAAATTCAATTATATATTTAAATCTGAAAATTATCATGGAAAGAAATGATATGACAACTTATCTAGTACATTAATGATGATGGGCGGTAAAATTCATAAAATATCAATGAAAATTTTGTCTAATTAACATCAATTCGTTTACCATCGCGCAGAAGTAACATTCTACGAGCATTTTTACACTGATATTGAAAAATTAGTGATTATCACATATTATTAATATGATTACATAACAAATGTTTTGCATTTGTTATAAAGTTGATAAATGGTCAGCACTAGCAAAAATAATTTTTATTAGAATATTTCAGCATTCATTTTTATTTATATAATGTCATAAGCTATATTTCAGTTGTAAAATTTATATACCAATAATTTATTATATAATAATAATAATAATTTATTTTGTAATTAATATATATCATAGCGAAATAGCTGATTGTCTTAATTATAATCGTATAATAATATCTGCCTAACTTGACAAAAATTCTAATTCATACGATCGGATAAGTATAAACTTCTAAAAATAATTCGAGTATTGATAATAAATATAGACTAAAAAAAAAAAAAAAAAAAAAAAAAAAAAAATTATAAGAAAATAGTATATTTTGTGAAATATAAATTATCCAATGATGTGAAAATGAAGAAATACAAAAATTGTGAATTTAACAACAATATTCTTGCAAACAACCGACTTATTTAAAAAATATTATATTCCATAATTAAGAGCGTCTGGTTGCTCGAAAATGTTCATTTTATCAAAATAGTCGCCATGAAAATGGTTAAAGCCACGTACAAGATGTAATCGTGAGCAGTGCAGTTTCGGTGGAGATTCGGCCTTTTCTTTACTTATATCGCAAAATATTGAAACAACGGATGTTGCTCAATTCGACTCACTAATAAAATACAACTGCTGGCTAATGTTTTTTTTCTCTTTTTTTTTTGTTTTTTTTTTTTTTGTATATTTAGAACTGTTGCCTCCTGAGGGACAGAGGCTTATTGAATTGCTGCTTAATAATGACCGGCGTCGACGTGGGTGAACTTGGTCGGATTGGGGTCGGTTCCTCGGTGGTGCTCGGCTGCTTGGCCAACCAGTCTAGTGCTCGCTGGATCTCCGGGGGAATGGGTGGCGGGGTCGGTAGGTGAGTCCCCGAGACCTGGGCACCGAATTCATCGGCGGTCCAGCTGAGAGCGACGGGAGTACCGTCCGGGGCGTTATACTGGACGGATCCCTGGATAAGTTGAGTCTCGGCGTCGGTGCCCTCGTACTTGCGCGAGCCTACCTCCTTCTGGAGTATTCCACCTTCGGTCTCGTACACGAATGCGTAATTGCCGAGTTTATCGCCCACATCGTTCGAAGCCTTAATAATCTTCTCCGGCTTGCGGAAGAGGTCATCCTGGCAGTAGCTCGTTGCCAGTAGGCACACCACAAGCTGAAATTGAAATGATTATGAAATTTGCGATTAACTTGTATGACGTATTAATGAAATCTTCAAAAGAGGAAAAAAAAAAGGTTTAAGCAATTGTGATACTCGTACTTGCCTTATCTGCTTATGGGACATTATCGAATTTGATATGCTAAATTATGTATTTTTACATTAATATTGAGTTGAGTGAATATTGAATATCTCTCTCTCTCTCTCTCTCTCTCTCTCTCTCTCTCTCTCTCTCTCTCTCTCTCTCTCTCTCTCTCTCTCTCTCTCTCTCTCTCTCTCTCTCTCTCTCTCTCTCTCTCTCTCTCTCTCTCTCTCTCTCTCTCTCTCTCTCTCTCTCTCTCTCTCTCTCTCTCTCTCTCTCTCTCTCTCTCTCTCTCTCTCTCTCTCTCTCTCTCTCTCTCTCTCTCTCTCTCTCTCTCTCTCTCTCTCTCTCTACACACACACACACACATACACACACACACACACACACACACACACACACATATATATATATATATACGGGCGCGCGCGTGTGTGTTTGTAGATATCGAAGGAATGAAAAATATATAAAGCTTTGGATTTTCCCATTTCTTAAAATGTAATTTGAAATATCAAATACCAAACTACATTTTTATATGAAAATATTAACATGTTGTTATAATAATATTATTATTTTGTCTGAAATTTCTGAAATCTTATGAAATTTCTATTTATTTAATAAAAGCTGTGTTTGATAAAAGTTTGTACATTTTTGTCACAGTGTAAGAAACAAAATTTTTCAATATTGCATATTAAAAAATAATTTTAGACATAAATGGGTGAATTATTGTTAAATATTTTTCTAGCAAATTTTAAGACTTTAATGATGATAAAAATATTTTATCATTGCAATAAAAATAACGTATTATATGATAATTTAAATCATAGAGTACTAGTAAGTCATGAATTATTAGTAAATTACTAATATAGAACTATATAGATTCGTATTATAATTTTTCTATTTCACAGTTATTCTGTTTATTATTGCCACTTATTTAATATAAAAGTAATATAATTGATATATAATTAATTTTCATCAAAATAAATTAATAAAATGAAGAAGAAGAAAAAAATATATATGTGTAGAAACTGCATACACCCATAATAATAATAACAATTTGAATATTTAAGAATGTCTTTCTATATATTATTTGGCAAATAAAATTCGACTAATATCTATCATTAGCTCAGACTCCACTCTAATGAACTTACACAAATTAATGAAAATTAATGCTCAAACATATGCAATCACACGTCTCAAAAATCATAATTCCAGCTCCATAAGTAACTAACATTTCGCGTTCTTAATCTCGTGGCTACTGATTGTGCGGATTTTTCATGCTTGAGCCCCGATAATTTTTCTCCCTCGAAACTACTCGCCTAATTCCCCAACTAACAAGATGAAGAATTTTCGAGAAACGTAAGAGATACGACCACACCCCACGTACTGATTAGCTATTTCTCAATGCAAGCCGATGACGCAAACGAGGGAGGCGACGTCGAAGGCATCCCGACCCTCCCATGCCAAGCCTCCGTTTTCTTCATCCGCGGTAAGTGGAGATTTGGGAGCAGCTTCACGTCGAGACTTCGTGTCTTCACGGGTCACGCGCTAGATCGAGGCAAGTGATCGATAATAACGTTCCCCTCCTCGGCCCCACATTTTTCTTTCTCCTTTTTGTTACATTGGTTCCGGTTTTCTCGGATGGAGAACGAGTTCCAAGGACACACAACACGGATAGTTGCGCTGCAGCATTGAAAGTACGTCGATCGAGATCTTTTATTCTGCAATAATGTAATAAAAAGTGGCGGACTTAGGGCTCACTCCAGAAGTCATTTATTGCGTCGACTTTTGGGGTTTCTTGCTGTTGCTGTTGTTCGCATATTCAACTCGGAAACAATACCAAAACAATGGCATTGCAGAATGCTTCTGTATAGCTGGCGAATATTTATAAAAAGAATATTCTTTAGTGAGGAATTGTTTTAAAATAGCTTTCCAATGAAAAGGTAATTTTATACATTTTCAATTGTCTAAAAATCTATATTAATCTGCAGGAGAAAAGCTCGCTCGCGTCTAACCTGACGATATAATAAAGTTAACGCGTAATCGAGAAACGATTGGCCAAATTGTGCAATCGAACGGATTACACAAATGCAATTTTTCTTCGATATTTATCGTTAAAAGTCCATTTATTTATTCACATAATTAACATGAATTGCATTACTCATAAAGTTACAAATAGTATGGAATCTCTTAATTTTGCGATGAATACAAGTATAGAAATATAGGATAAAAATATTTAAATACGATTAAATTAATTAAATGTGATTTAACAAAAAGAAAAACAAAACTAAACAAAAAAAAACACAAAAAATTAAAAGAAACAATCCATTTATTAGCTTAATAGAACATTGTCGCATTATTATTATTACTTTGGAATTTAAGTAATAGATTTTTATCGATGTGAATACTGAAAATTCGAATGAATAATAAATTAAAAATGTTAGTATAAAATTATGACGGATGAAAAGAAAAATAATAATCATATTATAATCAAAAAAATTAACGACTATTAATATACAGTTTCTTAAATTCAGAAAGCTTCATTCGCAACAATGTTAACAATGAAAAAGTATTATGTCTAATTATAAATGATTTTAATAACGTAGATCACTCAAAAATTACTATATTCGAGTGTGGAAACTTTGTTAAAGAAAATTCTTAACTGAAAACATTTTTTCAAAGAAATTTGAATATATGTATATAAAATGTTTTGAAATAATTTTAGTCCATTTCGCGATGATAAATGGTGATGTAAATTTAAGTACAACTGGGAATAATCTTTTTGAAAGGCTCGTACATTCTCATATTGAATAAAAATATTAAATTCAGAGTATTCAATGTAATAAATCTTTTTTAAATTATCATATATCTATTTAAATATTCGGAGTCATTAGTGTCTTTCTAAATATTTCGACATGGAGCAAGTAGTTTGTAAAATTATAATAGAAGATTGTCGATTATTATAAGAGTTTTCAAAAATAAGATAACAAAAATTTTGGAAAACAGACATTTTTTTGGAAACATATGGTATTCTTGTATATATCTATTAATATCTTTTAATGTTATACATAAATATACTTAGCTGTATAGAAAATAATTTTGATAAACTATTTTACATTATTATTAATATTTATAATTTACAAATTTATATATCGTAATTTTAAGATTTTGGAATTTTGTAGAAACTCATTTGTAAATTCAAAAGTGCGGAATATTTGATTTTCGTAATTTATTTAACGAAAATTGTCATTGCTAACTGGAGTACACAATTTCATAATAGTTACGTGAAAAAAATTATTTACGCCAGCTTTTGACATTAATTACTGTACGTTTATCGAATTATTTAAATTACACGAGAATTAATAATAATCATGTAATAGTTAAGAAGGCTGCACACATTCGAATATAAAATTTATATTCAAAGATATTTCAATGTTACGTTGGAAAGAGACGATTTAAGAAAATTGTATACAAATTAGCAATATTTTATCCTTTTCAATTCATTATATAATATTACAACCAACGAATATTTTTACGAATATTTTTCTCTTTTTTCTTTTTTTCTTTTTTTGTTTGTTCGTTTTAAAGATTTACACTGTATGAACGTATCATCTTGCTCCTTTAAATTGCTCAACCATTACTCCTTCGATAAATCTTTTATAATTTTCTGGCTTATGCAATTGACAAGCATTTCACACATGATTTTACAACATCTAGGATCGAGGACCCTGCGCTATTACATCCTGGCTCATCACAGAGAATCGCTTACGATAAAAATCCTACTTTTATAGCTTCGTAAATGATAAAAATGTAGGAACGAGCGTTGTTTTTGGTAGGACCAGGGTGAAATGCCCTCTTCAGCTTCCATTCATCCCGCAATTTCGCGTAGATTGCATTAAGAGTTTGGCGAACCAACGCGACTGACGGCGCATTGTCAAACTCGAAATGAAAATGCTCGCGCGACGACGTACGGCGGCGGCACGATAAAAGGGAAATGAATGAGCCTGGGCTTCGCTACCCTCGGGGTGGCAAAGCGCACAGTCACACGGAACACAGCCGCGTCGCGCAAACACTCACCAGGAGACGCATGGCCGTGTCGTCCTATGCAGCCCGAGAAAGTGCAACGAGTCGTGGCTTCTCCTCGTAGAGCCGCGGTCGTCGCGACGAGGGGAAAGTGCGGGTGTCGGGGAAGCGCGAGGCGGTGCGCGCGCGCCAAGTGCAGCCGGTGGTGCTCGTCGTCGTCCCAGTAGTGAGGCCCGCGAGAGACTCCACGAGCCGACGGGGCCCACGCGATCTTTATACGCGCACTTGTGCACCCGGTACACCCGCGTACACCCGGTATAGCGGCGACGAGATGCGACGCGCCGCTTTTACATAACCCGGGAAAGTGGATTTTGGCTCGGCCGGCCAGGCGCTCCTACTCCGACGCCGCGCGCCGCCAACCGGGAAGCGCCGGCGATGGAGCCGTGCCGGACTTTTCTCCCGCGAATTTTTCCGAGGCTGGGGGTGTATCCGGATGATGATACCATCTCCGCGCAGTGTCTCCGAGATACGGCGAGTGCGCACATGGACTAGGTTCCGGGGATGTGTTGGACTGCTACTTCTTATGTATTGGTGATGGAATTTCCGTAAGAGTGTGGCGTGGCGGATGATAATTGGATAATCGAAAATCAGAATCCACGTGGTGTTACAATCCCTTTGAAGAAGAAATGTCGAAAGGCATCTCTACATTTACGATTGAACTCTCTCACGAATCTATTGAAATTAACTTTACAATTTATTATTGACGAAAATTAACATGTAAATCAGCGTTTACATGAAAAGCATTCAGAATATATTGATAAATATTATTGATTTCAGCTGAAGTTGGGAGATTTAAGTTGCGTTTAGTGAGAGTTAAGATATTTAAAAGCGCCAATTAACTGTCTATTATTGGTATTTGTGCAAATGTAAGTCACATTACAATAAAATTAATTAAAAAACTGAAAAATTGGTTATTTAGAAAATTTTTCATGTATAGTATTAAAAACAAAACTCCACACTCCACACGCAAACGTTACATATTTAAGTGCAATTTAAATTATTTTCTCTCTCAATTAATATTGTGACAACATATCAAACCGTGTTCTTTTTCATAAATGACTCTGACTCATAAATAATTTATGACAACAAATGTATTTTCTATTTTTAAGTTCAAATATTTGCTTTATCACTATTGATAGAAATGAAAAACCATAATATCATAGTTATGAAGTTAAATTTATTGTCGAATAATTATATTACAGTCGATATTTATTAGAAGAAAATGTTTCATTGTCGCAGATTAATAATAACATACATTTTACAACTTCGATAAACTAATATATGCATAACAACTCTACATAACAAATATTGAGTACTACTACTGCGAATTGATCAAGATAACATTAATGTGATATTATATTATTTTTCTGGTTAGAATAAAACAGAACAAATTTTGTCGATAGTCCTAATACAAATATAGAATAATCGAATCATTTACTATAAATTCAATTATCACGATATATTCAATATATAGAACGATATTTAACATAATGTAAATTATAGTATAATATAAAATTTTTATAAACATTTGCATAAAACGTTAATAAATAAAATTATTTATCGATACATTCTTTATTATTTATTATCATTTCTCAAATCTACCTATATTTCAGATTAATTTTAGTTAGATGTAATTGAAAAAATATATTTGTTAAAGTAGTTATTAATTTGGTGTGAATGAAATAATAAACAAGCCAAATTAATAAATAAATCAATAATTTAATATAAAGCATTTCAACTGACAAAATTATGTCGTTCAAAGCTTTCATTGGGCTAAGTATTTGAATAGATAATTTTTCAAATTGCTATTAACTTATTAGATTTTTTGTTGAGATTTATTGAATTTGTATAAATACATGTAACCCAATGAATTATAGTGTATTTAAGAACATTAATTAATTAAATTCGTAATAATAACATTAATGAATGAATTGCTCATAACATTATTTTGCTAATTTGAGTCATTTAAACATTAAGTATTCGAGAATAGGAACTAAAAATTTATCAGATACGCTGAATAAGAAAATAAAATGTAATATTGTGTGAATATAATTCCAATTAATAAACAAATAATCAATAATGAATATTTCATTACAATAGCTAAGTAAAATAATATTGTTAAATTATATTTTTACTGTAATGTTAATTTTAATAATTAATAACTGCGCTAAAAATTATTGCATTATATTAGTTTTATTCTTTGTGTAAAGTTACTTTATTCTTTTCAATACTAAGTCTTGAGATTTTTATTAGAAAAAACTAAGTCGATTCAATCTAATAAACAAATTATTATATTAAAATCATTGATAATACATAAGTTAATCTTTAGTCATTTGAAATTCTTCAATTCATCGCTTTTATTTTATTGATAATTTAAATAAGCATATTAATAATCATGAATGTCGTTTATAACAATTTTATTATAAACATTCAGAATAAATGACATTAAGATTATTATATTCTTTAATAACTGAAATACCATGTATTTAATAAATGATTTGAAATTACTTATAATACACCACTAAAACATATGAAGTTGAGATTACATAGTTAAATCATATTTTCTTGCAAGTAAATTTAAAATAAATTACTTTATTATATTTTAATAATTTAAATATATTGCATAATAATTAAAGTTCATGGTACAAAATTCTATTGCAACTACGTTACTTATATTAATATTTATTCTGTTTATCTTTACAATCTATAATATTAAACGAGTATCGTATCATTCAGGCTATTATTTCCAATTTGCTCGTTATCAGAAATATTGAAAATAATAATAATAGTTAAAATTTTATACATATATATATATATATATATATATATATATATATATATATATATATATATATCGAATTTGATTTCGACCAATTATATGTTAAGCTTAGTGAGAAGAAAAAATTAGAAAAAAGTACTAAAATTCATATATTATATTTTCCTCGTTAATACACCTATAATTATTTATTTTAATACTTATATTTAAAAGATAATTATTAATTTCACGTTATTATAAAGACAAAAATTTAAATTATTGTATAATTTATTTAATACAAATGTTATAATATTAGCCATATTAGTAAGAATAAGATTTTGTAATACGATAAATATTTTCCATCGCAATTCTTCATAATGAATTTTATTGGTATTATGTCACTAAAATAGTATATTACGGATAGATATTTTGCAATTTAAAGCTTTAAAGTATATTATGATATTAATGTAACAGGCAGTGTTTTCATGTCAATAATCTTTTCACAATATAAACATTTTCTTACAAGATAGTTTTTTTTTTTTTTTTTTTTTTTTTTTTTTTTTTAAAAAAATACTTAATATATCACATTAAAGTACACGTTATTTTTATTTCCTTTAATCAATTAAATCATTCGTGTCTCCCTTACATTGCACCAATTGACATAAAAATGTATTTATGTTAATTTTAAATATAAAATCTGAAGAACATGAGTGAGTTGTGATAAAACCATAGTCAACAAACTTTAGATCCTATCTTATGAAATTTTATGGTACTGAAAAAAAAACATAGCAAGATATAAAGAATTTTATTAAATCTCCGATAATATCACCAAAGCAAACATAGGATAATGATCGTTTGGATTATTTGTCTTGCGGAAATATCGATATTCATATTCTTTGAAAACACGTAGAGATAAAAAAAAAACTACCTTTTATACGGTAGAATGTTCTCAACTGAAATTACGCAGATCTTTGCTAAAGATTTCTATGGTTATGTAAGAAATAAGTCGATGTTTGAAAAGTAGAGGCTATCACCGCTGGCATGATTAATAAGCTTATTCAGACGCATCAAAGACAATTCCAACAATTTATAAAATACATATCCATTTCTAAAAGTAATAATAGTTTATTTTGAATAACGGATTTGTAAAAATGAAGTCATAAAAGACGGCCAGCCCACGATGCAAATTCTAAATCACCACTCGCTTATAATATAATAAACCATCAATTACCCGCTACGAGTGCATGCAAATCCATAATTTTAAGGCTGATAGTGCCGGGAGAATCCTCTCACTCCTCGTACTCACTGCCGTAATCATAATACATAGGCATCTGGCCGTAGAATTGCTGAGGCTCAAAGCGGCGGATCATGGAAGGCGACAAGTGACTCGGAACTTTTATGCTCAAACTGCACTTCTGCCCACCATTGCAATCTACGCTTTCTACAATCAAGCGCCATTTTACGTAGGTGTGCAGCATTTTGACTTTACAATGCGATCGATCAACGCGCGCCTCGTCTCGCGAAATATTTACACAAAATCCGTCATTACGGGAGGATGCTTAAACGTCAGCGGCCTGGACGTACGTTAATTGCGAAAAAGTTGTAGCCTGAGGAATCCAATGAATGAGCCGATTGTCTTCTTTTTCGCCACGCCAATGTAATTTATAGCCAACACACATTTTAAGGGAAGAATAGTTTAATGCTTTAATGCATCAACGATCTACATAGATTTTTTTCCATCATTATGGCATTCCAGAAACAGTAGAAGGAGATATCGAAAGGTGTAACTATATAAGCCGTCGTTATCGAATGATAAAATCTTTAATGTTAATGGTAAAAGTCTTATATTTTCAAGTTCTAACTGATTTATGTGGTTTTAATGGTCGATAAAAATATCACCTTTTTAAAGTCATTTGTCACAATTACTATATAAGTCTTTTTCATACAATTCTGTATTGTAAAATTAATGTATTTTATTGTTACAATGAAATAAAATGATGTATGGTATATTGATTGATGCAATATAGTTGGCATTTTCATCGTTTACATAATTCATCCATTATAACTATCTTTTAAAAGTGTCTTTTAAATTAATTGAACTTTCTAAAATTTAAAGTAAAAAAATATTAATCACCCATATGTGCGAAAAAAAAATCAGCATTAACAACAATAAAGTTGAATTTTCAAATATATAATATTCTAATTAGGTCTATGTATGCATTTGGCCACATTATAGTGATTAATTTACATAAAAGTGTATGAATAAACAAATCGGATATATTTAATTCTTCCAAACTCATTATCGTCAAATAATCTCAATTATATAACACATATTTGATTAATAAAATAATGTTTCTAAGTATGAAATCATTAAAAATTGGTCAAAAATAATCATTGGCGTCTTATAAATTTAATCGTTCATTAACTTATTTATACAATTATCATAATAGTTATGACCGTTAATACGATGCCTCAAATATATATTTCATAGTCGATACATTCGAAAATTAATTTTATAAAAAAAATAATTGTATTA